ATTATTATTATTATTATTAAGGCGCTCCTCATTGGCTTAACCCAGAAACTCTGCAATCCAGATTTTTAAAACTGTCATACATAATGCAAAGTATTGATGTATGAGACAAACGGTATGAGACAACATTTATAAATCATGATTTGTGATACACATTTATGAGTATTATTCAGTAGTATTGTGGCATTTCTTCTTATACGCCACACACTGCATTAGCGTGGCAGCTCTTTCAGGAATGTCTGAATGAATGCATAATGAACATCTGTGTAACCGAGCTGTGTGTGTGTGTGAATGGCAAAAAGCTGTTACTTTAACAGATACAGTAAGTGAACCAGGCAGTACATATTCTACGTCCTAACTCCTCAGGCATTTGAGCATGTTTGAGCATGGCTACTCAGTAATTCACAAGAAAAGAAAAAAAGAGAGCTAAAATCAGCCATCATAAAAAATGTATATAGTCCAAATATGTATTTTGCCTTTTTCCCTTTTGTCATCAAAGAATTATTAATTTAGAAGTCTGACTCTACGCTCACTGCTGCTCCTCTTCTTTTAAAAAAAAAACCCCAAAAATCCTCCCCCCAGAACAGTGCTTTAACTCACAGTTGACAAGCTTGACCATGGCGAGCAGGTTCGCGTTGAGCACGAAGACCAGTGGGTCTGGGCCTCCCTCCTCCAACTGTTGCATGAGGACGATCTCCGACGGCCTCTCCTCCACTGCGTAATCTGCAGGTGGTCGGAGCGGAGTAGAAGAAGAAACAGGTAGCGGGAGGAGTCAAGGCAAAGTTAAGATAAATGAGAGGAACGGAGAATGAGAGACGGTGATGTCAGTCAGAATGAGAATCAAGAGAGGGGAGGAGAGGGTTGAAGATGGTAAAATGAGTACAAAATCAAATTAGGAAGCAGCTAAAAACTCTCCCAAGCAATCGCTTATAACCACAGCATTACCGTGTTCAAACCCACCCTCCCGCCCCCTCTTAGCAATGAGTGGTCGAAACATGAGCGGTGACGGTATAAGCACGAGAGAAACAACATTTAAGAAAAGCACAAAAACGGCAGCTGACGGAGCAATGAGGAGGCAGCAGAACGGTGGGGATGAGGGCAAGCACCTGTGATGTGGCCTCCCGTACCTCCTTTGACTCCGGTGGAGATGAGGATGGGAGGGAGCCCGTCCTCCGGGATCAGGCTGAGAGAGCTGCCCACGGGGCTGCCCACCGGGGCAACAGGGGTATGGGCTGCCTGAGGGTGGAGAGAAGAGGTGGGGGGGTGTGGAGTTAGATGTACTGAAGGTTATAACACACAGTGAGATGTAATAATACAGACAATACTCAGGAACTATGGCTGAGATTGGCAGAACAGGTTCAACAAGCATTAAGTGTAACTATATATTAATAACCGAGCACGTTGGATTTAAATATCAGCAGTGCTCTTTAAAATAATCCAAGAAGAAGAAAAATACTTGAAACAATACAAAACTGACATTTCAGCCATTTGGTCCCTTATATCCTTAAAGCTGCAATGATCAATATTAGCAGGTGGAGAGCATGAGTCACACAGCTTCGACAGCATCTCATAACTTCACCATCTAGTTCACTAAGACTGTTACTCCACAGCAGTGTGACTGTGCTG